GCAAGGTGACCTTGCAATGTGACCTTGACTTTCAGGTTGAGAGAGTACCGCACGCAGGGCACTAGGCTCAGGCAGTCCGGTACATCTTAACTTAAGTCTGCCTGTTCCCCATCTCTAACGTCACCACACCCATCTGGCCTTCCTGCTCCCACACATGCCTCGCCCCAACCCATTCTCCACAGCGCTGCCAGAGCCAGTGTTCAAAACTGCAAATCATACCACGTCACTCCTCCCCTCAGCAGCCTTCAGGGCTCCCCAGCCTCTGTGGAGCCACACTGCACACCCAGCCTGGACTGCCACACTCTGCAAGGTCTCTGCCGCCCTCTCCACGGAGAGTCCGCATATTCGGCCAAGAATGCTCGCAGCTGTTTCCTGTCTAGAACACGGTTCTTCTCATTCGCTAGCCTTCAGCTAAAATGTCACCTTCTCAGAGAGGCCGTCCTTCTCTAACCCATGTTTATCCTCCAGGCCCCCTGTATTACCATTGCTTTTGGTTTCTTCAGAGTACTTACTATACTTTGTAATCAGGGGATTTATATGAGTTTACTCCGTGTCCACTACAATGCAGGGGTCCCCTCTCTGTGGTCACTGCTGTTATCTCTAACTCTGGTACCTAGCAATTAACCCAAGAATTGTTTCTATTTACAACTGAATGCATTTACTAGCTCAAAATTACTGTCTCTTGTAGCAAGTTCTTACTTTCTTCAAAACCAGCTGCCTTGTGATATTATTTCTCTTAGTCAAACTGCAAATCAAGGCATGTCCGAGTCGATTCCAACTCAGAGTGGCCTGAGAGGACAGAGCACAACTGTTGCATCGGGTCTCCGGGGCAGACGGCCTCACCTTTCTCCCAAGGAGAGGCTGGTGGGTCCCAACCATTGACCTTTTGTTAAAAAGGCAACCCAATGCTACTCACCAGGGCGCATAAAAACCCCACTGCCATCAAGCCGATTCCAATTCACAGCAACCCTATAGGACAGAGCAGAAGTGTTCTGTAGAGTTTCTTAGGCTGTGCAAATCTGGAGCGGAGCAGACAGACAGTTACTTCACTCCCAAGGAGTGGCTGGTGGGTTTGAACCACTGATCTTTGAGGTTGGCAGCCAGATACTTAATCCAGTGCACCATCAGGGCCTAACTGCTACTTTTAAACTCAAGCACTCACTGCCACTGAGTCGACCTTGACTTCCAGTGTGACCCGATAGGAGAGTAGAACTGCTGTAGATTTCTGAAGCTGTAAGTCACTCTGGGCGCAGAAAGCCTCGTCGCTTTTCTCTCGGAAGCAGCTGGCAGGTTCAAACTGCAGACCTGTTGTTAGCAGCCTAACACATCACCCACTTCGCCACCACGGGGCCTTACTTGCTATTTATAGGCACCCACAATTTATGCGATCATAGTACTAACTATAACAAGATCCTGCATTCCAGAGATAACCAGGATTTAAAGAAAGGGAAACATCAGAAAGAAAAAGATAAAGAACTGAAATCTTGAATAAACCAAGGCAGACAAAGGTGAAGTTACAATCTGATTTCTGAAAGCTGAAGCATCTACTTACTGCATGCAAAAAAGGAATGTTCTTTTATTCTTTTATCTAATTGGTTCTAAACTGACACTATTCAGTAATTCCACATTGGCCTAATTACATGCTTGCCAAGAAAACTTCCAATTATACCTTAGCTTTCCAGGGAAAGACTGCACTAGCCCCAGGATCGCAGAATTCAGTCTTTAACGTTCTATTTCATTATAAACTAATAGATTAAAATCCCAGGGAAGGGTACGTATGTACTTCAGAAATCCTGTGGGGCACGCGGATCTTGTGTGTGCACATCTGGATCTTAGGTCGCTGGGGTATGTGTGTCTCTGTGCTTGTTTTTAATTTTTGGGGTGGTGAGGGGGAGGGCGGGGTTACTGGGCTCCCAAGTTCAGCCTATCCCTGTGACTGATTCAGGTTCTAGATGAGCCTCCTGAACAGTCCACAGGCTTCTGCTCCAGTTCCAGAAAGAATGAGGCTAACTGGTGAGAAGGGACACACCAAAACCCAAGATGACAGGACTCCTCTAGCCGTGCACTAGACCTCAAGCCTGGACAAAGAGGAAGAGTCCCTGAGGGACCCTGAGGCTGGAGGTAAGCTCTGGCTCAGAGGCCAAGCCCTCAGAGTGCAGCAGAGCTGGGCAGTGCGGCTGAAGGGGGAAGCCCTGAAGTGCTGATGCTGCTCTGCTGAAGGAAGATGGGCTCCCCCAACTGTAAAGGGCCTCGGGTAGACCCTGGACAGCGGGAGTGCTATGAGTGCTGACACTGCACAGGAGACAGAGCAAGGCTCCTACAGGTGCGCCCAGGAAGAACTCTGAATGGACAGAGAAGGAAGGGAAGGTGTCACCGGAGGACGACTTTGCAGCTGACAAGCTGAGCAAGCAGCTGGCTCTGACTCCAGCTGACAGTGGGGCCTGGCATCCACTCTGAGCTGCCACACAGAGTCAGCCTCCTCCGAGTTCTTTCTGTTCACGGACCAGCATGTGAAAAGCCTAGCCCTCAGGCAGAGTGTGCTTGAAAGCAGATGAGCCACTCCCGTGGCCAGCCCAAAGGGCAGGCTGGTCCCTAGAGATGTATGTGTGTGTGCGCGCACGCGCACGAGCGCATGCTCATGCCCTTGAGGGAAATTGGGGCACTGGGGCCCATGGTTATACCATGACCCAATCAAGATGGCGAGAGAGCCCAGAAGCAATCCTGTAAAACAGCCGTTCCCAACCTGTTGGTCCTGATCCCTTTCACAGGGGTCGCTTGATTCATAACAGTAGCAAAATTACAGTTACGGAATAGCAATGAAGATCATTTTATGGTTGGGGGTCACCACAACATGAGGAACTGTATTGAAGGGTCGCAGCATTAGGAAGGTTGAGAACCACTGCTGTAGAGGCTTTTCTATCTGCGATCACATCATGATCCCAATCACGGTCCCTTTGTGATTCCGTGGCCAGCCTGCCACTGTGACGAACTCATCTGCTGCCATCACGATTTTGTGACCGTTTCCTTTGTTTACCGTGAGTCCTTTGGGGACCATAGTGGCCTCATGTTGATGGTCTCCCTCATCCAGATATTTGTTTTGGCTAATCTCTGTCCTGTTTAGGACTTAATTAAGGAGTCGTTGTAAAATAAGCTTATGCCTTGGGGTCTCTTTCCCCCCATAACAAGTCCCATAGGGCTAGGTGCCTCCTTTGCAGGCAAAAGCTGGACACTGAATAAAGAAGGCAGGAGGAGCAGCGAAACATTTGAATCGAAGTGCTGGTGAAGAAGACGGAAAGTTCCACGAAGTGCCAAAAGGACAAACTGATCTATCTTGGAAGAAGTGCAGCCAGAATGCTCCTTAGAGGCAAGGATGGGGAGGCTTCCTTTTACACCCTAGTCAGGAGAGACCAGTCCTTGGAGAAGGACATCATGCTTGGTAGACAGGCAGTTAAAAAGAGGAAAGCCCTTGATTAGATAGACAGACACAGTGGCTGTGTAGTAGTTACACAATCTCATGTCAACTTGAGGGGATTAAGAGTGAAGGGGTGGAGTCTAGCCTGTAATCAGGTCACAGCCTGATGATCCCTCCTTATGGGCAGGACCTTCTGATGAGGACTCTGGGACCATCCTCTCGCTCTCTGCCTCAGCTTCCTGTTGAAGAGCCACACTCAGAGAGCTGGAGGAGACACATGGAGACCGACATCAGCACTGAGATGCTTCCACTAACACTGGGTCCAAGACTTTGCACCCACTGTCCTGTGATCTTCCTGCATTCGGCATCATTGAGTGTGGCTCTGTGAGTCTGAAGAAGGATTTTTGGACTAGTATTGGACTTAGGGACTAATATCAGACTTATGGACTTTACATGGACTGGGCTGGGATGTTTTCTTAATATACAATTACTCTTTGATCTAAAGCTCTTTCTTACACATATCTGAATATCTCTGGATTAGTTTCTCTGGTCAACCTGGCCTAACACAGGCTGCAGCAATGGGCTCAAACAGAAGAACAACTGTGAGGACGGCACAGGACCAGGCAGTGCTCCATTCTGTTGTACACAAGGTCACTATGCGTCAAACCGACCAGATGACACCGAACAACCACACAGACAACAGAGGGCCAGGCAGGAATAGCTGCGGAAACTGAGGACACAGAGCCAGATATCTAGAGATGTCATAAACACAGAGACAGCTACTTATAGAGAAAGTTTTACTTGAAAAACCAAAGCAGTCAAATGACCACATAATAATTTTTAACAGAAAACTGTCTACAACATTATCGATGGCTGCCACTGCAGAGAGCAGAAATAGAGAAGCAGCTTTCACTTCTTGCTGTCTCAAGCTCTGGTTTCATTTTCATAAGATGCATGTGTAATTTTCATAATGCAATTAAAAAATACATGGTACGAGTCTCTGCAAAAATGATTCATTTTGGTTTTAAACTTGCCATATGTTGTTGGGGCTGGAAGGAGTCCTAGCAGCAGCACTGTGGGCTGGCACTGGGCAGCTAACCGCAAGGTCAAAGGTTCAAACCCACCAGATGCTCTTCTGGAGAAAGATGAGACTATCCGTTTCTGTTCAGATTCACAGTCTTAGAAACCCTATAAAGGGCTACTATGAGTCAGAATCGGTTTGAGGCCGTGGGTCTCTCGGGTGGTGAGTGGTGGTGGTGAGTGCTGCGGAGTTGGTTCGGACCCACAGCGCCCCTGCGTATAACAAGATGAAATACTGCCTAGTCCTGTGCCATCCTCATAAATGCCCCCTACGGCAGCCATTGTGTCGCTCTGCCCCTTGGAAGGGCCTCCTCACCTTTGCTGAGCCTCGACTTAACCAAGCATCCACCACTCTGAGTGCATGGAGAAGGGAAGAAAAAGCTCCTCAATCGCAGGTTCGAATGTGAATCAAACCTACGTCCTAATTCATCTAAAACAACACACCCACTCTCCATAGCCACTGCCGCTGCTGTTTCATTTCCACTCCAACTGCTGGCAATTTACTGACCTTGGAACTGCTTTCCTCCGAGACTTCTCCCTCATTGGTCTGCATGGGAACAGACGCTGTGCAAAACTGCAGACACACACAAACACTGCCTGAAAGAGGGAGGACGAGAAAAATTACATTAAGGAATTCCGCGCAAGAAAATGTTTACTTCAGAGTCACAGTGAAATCCCATCACTAAGGCTGAGGAGACAAGAAAGTATATACCCTAAGTAACTTAGCAATGTAAGGGCTTATGTATGTATGCATGCATGCATGCTTGCATGTAACAAACATATATGTATCTTAGGTGAGAGAAATAATCTTCCCCGGGTTGGAGGAGGAGGGTGGTAGAGAAAGTTATATCACTGGATTATTAAATAGTTCTAGGTGTCTTTCCTCCATTTTATTAGACTTTTGACAGAGGTGATATTGAAAATATTTAATAAAGTATACCACAGACACTGACCTGTAAGAAAGGACCAACTGAGTGCAATGCAGTGAATTGTCTAACACGCTCTTCCAGCCATAGCTTTTGTTACTCCCAGAAAACCACCTTCATTTTCCTGACAGGTGGGGGAAGGTACTCATAGAATTATGACTCTGCTGTGAGGGACTGCCATCCTGTTGAGTATAACGTGAACCACTCAGAAGCAGGAGAGGAGACCTGAGAGTGGAGTTCGTTCTCGGGCCCAGAGATCCCTATGCACTGAACCTCCTTGATTCAGGAAACAGCTTTGATCCCAGAAGCACAGCAATAGCAAATCCAAGATCCAGAGCAGGAGACTTCCCAGCTCACAAAGCAAGTTAGGCGGAGTGCTTTTGGGCAGGAGGCTGGCTTGGGAGTAGGGTTCCTTTGGGAACTTAATTGGGAAAGCTGGGCTTGCTGACCCACAGAACTGGAGTTGAAAGCTTTTGGGTTGGGGCTTACAGTGAAGTGGCATGCCCCTTGTGCATTTATTGGCAACTCTAGAAGAGTATTGCGGCCTGGCCTGAGTAGGGCAGAGGGTCAGAGAAAGGCCTGCCTGCAGCACGGCACAGAAGAAACTGTCCTGATTGAACAGTTGTGTCCTGCGCACTTCTCACCAGACTCGTGAGCTGCTGAATTCCCTAATAAACTCACATCTGTGAGTTCTGTGGAGCCACTGCAACGGGTTCTGGACTTAGCAGAAACGCAGACGGCTGTGAAGAGCACCGAGGCAGGAATGGCTGGTATCGGATCAGGGTTAAGAGGGACGGCCATTGGCCCTTGGGGGGCAAAGTATTTTGACCTCGAGTTTTCAGAGGTTTACATTAGGCCACATGAGTTCTACTTCTTTTAAGAAAATTAACTCAATAAACTAAATGTCAGTCTCTTTTTATATGAGGAGAGCCTTATAGGGCAAGACAATAAAAACTAATCATTTTCCTCTCAGAATAAAACGAGTCAAGCACAAGTTTGTTAAAATTTTATGAATTAAAATGTACCCAAAGGAAACTACTAAAGATTTAGCAACATTTAAATTAATTCATTAAATATGTAATAGCTAAGGAATAATTACTCAAAGAGACATAAACCAAATCTCCATTATAATACAGGTAAGTTTATTTTTAAGCATTTTAAATACTTTAAAGAGTGCACTAGCGGATGATGTAAGATATGAAAATAATAATCAATAACTTATCAAGGGTTCACGAGGGAGGGAGGGCGGTGG